GAGGGATGAATAGGGAACGCTGCTCTGCCAGCCTTTCAATGCAGATTCATGCCATGCTGACCCACATCCTGGCATCTCAAATGTAACATATCACTAAAACAATCACCTGCACGCACCTGCCTAGCACTCTCCAGAACGAGGTACCATAGGGGTATAGACATGAAATGTGTGGTCTGGGTCCTCAGAGGATATACATGCTCATTATACAAGGTGGCCACACCTGAACTAAAGTAGACCAATCAAGGTGTTATGCAGTACTCTGAATTCAGGGACACCGAGTGGCAGAGGAGGGGAGCGAGTCGCTGGACACTGTGTTGGGAGGGGAGTCAGCGCTGGGCGCGCACAGGGTCTCATGCAGATGTAAGGCTGTGTTTGGTTATTTGACTGAAATCGAGGGTGTTTACTGAGCATAGGAGATCATTGTTGGCGGGGTGGGAAGTGGCCCGGTTATCAAGGTCTGGTTGGTTTCCTCTGTTTACTAAGTCAATTTATCAACCAGGACAACTGCTACCTTTCTAAGATATCATCCAACTTTGGGAGACAGAAGACACATCTTTTAAGATTTTGAGGGCTCCCGTAAACACAAGAACACATTGTTTATCCAGGGCACTTAGGCTAGATTGCCAAATATCCCCAAACCTCAAATGTCCAGAACATGGGGGTGGAGCTGAGGGGATGGTTTCGGAAGCAAAGATCATGAGCAGCTTAATTAATGCCAAGACCTTCTGCACTGACGCTCTTCGACTGTGTCCCCGTCCTCACTCTGCTGTGAGCTTGGCTGACTGAAGCAAACTGACACACTAGCCCTGCACTGGCCTGGGGGCAAGTTTAGACCCCAGCACCCAAATTTCCCAATAGACAGAAAACCTTCTGAAGCAAAATCCATACCCATCACACAAGAGTAAAGCCAGGTCAGAAGAGGAGGGCTACAGGAGGCAGGCATACTCCTAACAGGAAGTGACAGCAACTGATCGACAAAGGTTCCCAAACTTCCCCGTGGCAAAACACAAAGATGCTAACACAGTTGCTAATTTATTGTGCCTCTCCAGAAACAAGACACTGGAGATCTTGCAAAGTAGTTATTATCATGACAGTTTTGCGGATGAGGAAACTGAGGCCTGGGAAGTTGAAAAGGTCCACAAAAACTCAACTCTGAGTCTATTTGACCCAGCCTCTGTCACAAAAAATAAAGTTTAAAATTAGAAGCCTGAATCATCAAAAAAAAGTTGCCTTGTCTTAGTTTTGGTTTTAAGAAGATAGGACATGTGGTACATGTTTCAGAATGTCCTTTATCAGATAACCTTTTTAAAAGGAACTTTTGGAACTTTACAGGGACATGTTTCAGTACCTGGGGATTTCACCTAGATGGAGTGCGATTCTTTAATCCTGCATGGCAAATGAGATATTGTGCTGAACACACACACAAAATCATTAGCGTAGACTTCTGTGTAGGTTTCTAGCCTAAGAAACATTCTTTCAAGTCTTCTTAGTGATTTTTGCACCTTGTGAAACACATTTTTCAAGATACCCATCTGGAAATGACCAGGTCTGAAGATTTTGGCTTTATTGGGTGGCGCCTCCGGGATACCAAGCCCGTGTGAGGACAGATGAATAAGCTGTGTATCATATGGAGGTGTTTTTCAAAACGCATATAGTATTTTAGATTTCAGACACAGAAAAAATATTCAACTTTGTGTGCATGTGTTTCTAAAACTCTAATGTTCAGCCTGTTTCCTGATGACACAAGCGAAAGAAAGGCAGCAGAACCGTCCTTCTACCACAAGGAATGAAGTGGCCTCCCCCTGTTTGCTCAGATGGCCCTGAGCCCTGCCCTGTTGTCCCTCGGCCGCACCAACCTGGCAGGGTCAGAGTGGACTCTGGTTTCTGCCTACAGCTGGTGAGTAAGCCTCAGAGCAGCCTGTGGGTACTGGGGGGGGGGGTTGGATTCCTGAGAATGGCCACAGGGAAGAGTCAGGGAGGTCACCACAGATGGTGGCCTTGGATGGCACTGACTCAGGCTAAGCTGAGGCTTGTGAGGGAAAGTTTCCAAGCAGACAGCGCGCTTAAACGGAACAAAATTAACAGGCGACGGTTAGGAGGGAAAGATCTCGGTGTGGGGTTTATTCAGTAATGGCCTTGACCTTTGGGATGTTGCTATCAAGGCAAGAGTGCCAATGGCACCGGTCAGGGTAATCCTCTCCTATCAGGGCCCATTCCAGGGTCATGGGGCAACCTCTACAATTAATCCTGCACAGAGGAAGAAGAGGGCAAAACACGAGTGCGGGGATGCTGACCACTGCCACTTCCCCACCGCAGGGCTGGATGTTTTTCTGACTTGCTTACTCATTTCTCTTTTTTGCAGGGGTGTGGCTGCTGTGTTCTCTCGTTAGAAGGACGGGTTAGGCAGTGTCCTCTTGGTAAAAAAGCATCCACCTTATGGGCCTGAGAGCCACATCCAATTCGAAACATGTGCCCGGAATGAAAGGAGAAAGGAGGCTAATTTGCTTTGATAGTGAGTGCTTTCCAAACCCATGAGCTCCCTTGGACCGAAAATGAGAGAGGGAAAGAGAGGAGGAACGAGACAGAACTTCCAGGACTTCAATTAGATTAATTGCTCCTTTCACGGGAAAGTGAAACAAGGCAGTGGGGGATGAGAAGCCTATTTATCCTGAATGCAAATGGCCAGGGAAGAAGGTTAAAAATACCTTGCAGTATGAGGTTGAGAAAACCGGACGTGTCTTTCTAAGTACAAAAATTCATCAGGATGCGAGAAAAATGGGGAGTGGAGGGGACACGGGGGAGGGAGAGAGAATTCAGGACGAGGTTAAGTAGTGGAGGCTTGACCCCAACTTTCTGACAATTTGGCACTGGGGGAAAAGAGACACCAGGAAGAGGTTTTTTTTTTCCCCCTGACCTTCCTGACCTTTTCAGTTCAAGCCAGAAGCATAGAATGAGGGAGTGGGGAGAAAAACAGGAAGCTACTTAGCGAGGATGATAAGCCAGAAGATAACCTGTCCCTTGCCTGCTTCCCCTACTCCAACTCCAGCGAGAAACGACTTTGTCTGTCATCTACCAGAGGCATCGGCACCCTTGAGTTCTCGCCATCCCTGGGACTGAGTCCTGGAAGGGGTACCCCGCAGGCCCTAACAGGGCAGGAACATGTTTTCCTGGCCTTGGACGCCTCCCAACATGTTTGAAGCCATGCTCACTAGCTCCTGAGGTTTTCCTCCTACAGCCATGCCTTTTGCCTCTGCCACTATGCATATACATAAGATGACCTCTTAGCAATTTCCCTGGGAAACTTGCTGGCATAAGCAGAACAGAATTTGGCCCTCACTCGAGAGAGGTGCCTAGTCAAATTTCTCAGGGCTCAGACCCAACCTCCCTGTGCGTTACGCTTCAGTTGGTGCCAGCCGTCTGCAGCCCAGCTAAAGGCACTAAGAGCAACAACACCTTATAAAGCAGCTCTTCTAACAGAAATTCTTGGTAAAGTTCACTGGCAGGAAATGGGCAGCCTTGAGGTGCTGTGCAAATGTGTGTGTGTTTAACTTAAAGAGGAACTGATGAGCTACCCTATGTCTTCCACTGAGTCAAGAGTGGAGCTGGGATTAGAAACTCGGTCTTATGACTCTGTCACATGAGGCATCCATCCGGGAAACCCTTCAGTTTTCAACAAAGACTACCTCTTGTTAGGAGAAAACCATTATGTAGGTGCTAAGTAGTCCTTGGAGGATAACAATGACATTGATTCACTGCCTCACGGTCCAGCACTGGTTACAGGGGGGCCTGTCTCCTCCACAAGGTAGCGCTGGCTGGACTTAGGCCTGCTCCCTGTATCTTTCCCACCAGCTGGCCACTTTATCTATTTTTCAGTACTTGCAATGCCTTGGTCACAAGAAAGGCTCGGGCTATTTCTCAATCATTAGAAGGCACTGAACACCCATCAGAGTACTGGCACATTGTAGGTGCTCATCTGGCTCGGGACACGACTGTTGGCATAGTCTTTCCTGCACAGAAAAACTTTTCACTTTTGTTTCTATGAGGAAAGACTGTAAGATAGAGCCCACTAGATGGTACAAAGCACATTCACATTCTTGACATTACAGCGCTGCCTGCGGCTCCCTCCTCACCTTAACTTGTAGGGACCTCGGTGTTAACATGGCATTTCGAAAGCACTCACAGATGTCTAAATGCCCACGTGGTGTCGCCTAAGCCGCACTTTTCCACAGTGACAGAACTGATGTTGTGAGATCAGCTGAGTCACCTCGGTGACTGACGAAAGTTCTCTGGGTTTTGGTTTTCTCATTTGCAAAATGGAGGTAGTAATGACCCCCATTTCCCAGGGCCATTGTGAGAGTTGAATGGATTGATATTTATAAAGCAATTAGAAGGCTGTTTGTTAAAGAAATGCAGCTTTGAGACTCTAACCTGTGCAGCACAGATACCAAGAATCAATGCAAATCGTAGATCTACCAGCGGAGACTCAGATTTTTTTAACTCTCTATAAGGAAACCAGCTGCTGCTTCATAAAATAACAGCGTGATCCTCCGCGGCTGGTTGCAGAGGAAGTCTCCACTTGGGGATTTGGCTACTATTTTATTAAGGAAGCTGGTGGGGTTCCTACATGTGGTAGCAGCATTGGAAACAGGGCGATCTCCAAGGGGAAGGCAAATCTCAAAGTCAAGAGCCAGAGTTTCATATAATCCACCCCCCCGCCCCCACAAGGAATTCTCCTCCCCTGCCAGCTTTTGAATAGAGGGTGCTATTCTTCACACTCTTCACTCAGGAAGGCTCTTTTCTCCGCTAAGGGACCAACTAGGCCTTTATCTCCCCCTGAAAGAGAACGCCATTTTGAGGTTTCTCTCTGGGGCCAGGACTGAGCACTGTTGAGAGGGTCCTGCGGTTAGGGGTGCGGCCACTAGGTGGCAGCAATGGCAAGAGCCCAGGTGGGCGGGTGGGCGTGTATCTCACACAGGTACCGCGGACCAGATAGTGCTTACTTGCAGTCGTGCTTCTCGATTTCAAAGTGAGGGTTGAAGTTGAGGACAATCTTCTGGTTGGGTTCCGGGGCGTAAACAATCCACTCGCAGTTCTGGTGGGAGGGGTAGTCCTGGGGGTAACCTGGGGAGGTGATGTAGCCAGCATCTTTGGAATTCAAACGACCTCCACAGGGTGGGTCTGAAAGAGAAGGCAAACAACCCAAAGAACTTCAAATATGTTACCGCATTTTTTCCCCCTCTCTCCCTGTTTCTCTTCTCTACCAGCGGCTGGTGAAAACTGTTTTACAGACCTTGTATGGTAGTCTAGAAGACTAACCTACTTACTCACTCAGTGGCAGAGATTACTCCAGCTCATCCTCTCCACAACTCACCCAGCTAAACACACACACACACACACACACACACACACACACACACACACACACACACTCCCCCCCCAAATGAAAATATTCCAGAAAATGCTCGTAAATATTCCCAATTACATGCTCTGAGATTAAAAAAACAAGAAAAGCTGCAAAGTTAACATGCCTTCCCGCCTTTTCCTGTCTCCCCTCCTGGGCCTATCTTCTTCTCCTCATTCAAACCTCTCATCTTTATCTTTACCTCGTAAATCCTTCTTGTTCTCCGATGTCTCCCAGCCCAGCCCAGCCCAGGCAGCCAGAAGTAACGGCTCCGGGAATTGACAATAGCGGTTTTGTGGTGCCGACCCACAAGCAAGCCTGGTAACAATTATATGTGATGCGGAGGAAGCGTTTTCAGCTTTGGGCCAGAACAGGCCCTGGAGGGTGATTTCAGTTTTTTTTTTTTTTTTTTTTTAAAAAAAAAAAAAAAAAACCCCCAAACACTTAATTCCACATACACCA